TATTATTATATATATATATATATATATATATATATATATATATATATATATATATATATCCATAAAACTGAAGAGAGAAACTATCAATTACTGTTATTATAATAAATATGTCCCACAATATTTGATGAAAAATTCTTGCTTTCTCTTTATATCTTATCTCCTTATTGATAAAGAAGTTGTGAAAAAAAGATGGGAACAAGAGGCAGAAGGTTTTAGAACAACAGGCGGAACAAGAGGCTTTAGCAGAAGTTTTTAAAGTAGTTTTGGAAATTTTTTGTTTTAATTGAAAAATTGAAAGTGTTCATGTACATTTCACCACTGCTTTTTCAGTAGCATATTTGTCAGATGCATTCTATGTAAAGGCTTTCTGAATCAGAAAATTGTAAACTTCAAAAATTTAGATTCAGAGGCGATCCAGATCAAGTTGTTATATGCTCTTCGACAACCAGTGGCAGAACTGTGACCTATCCCTACCCATCAGAATCAAAATATACATACGCCGAATCTGACACTAATCATGCAAGGATATCACTGAGAGAAGGGATATGCAAATCTTCATTTCACAGGTAATTCTCCTGCATTATTTTATCCTCGTTTGAGATTGCCTTCAAATGTTTATTTACAGCACTTATCGAATGGTAAGAATGACAAATAATTTTGTTGCAGCATGGTTGATATTGAGGGCTCCATGAAAGAAAAATTGATATTACTTATTTTGTCATTTAGTGCACATTAAAACTCACTCAGTAAGGCATGAAATTTGCATTTTTATATGTTAGGATACATGGTAATTTCGAAAAGTTGATTGAAGTCTTTGATGGAACAACTTACACTTCCACTTACTAACACTATTTCTTGATCTTAATTTTTATTACATAGCTTTCTTTTAGTAACGGTAAATTCAGCAAGAGGACGTATAGCACAGATCTCGCACGTCCTCCGACAACCGTTATTAGTAAGTTTTTAATGAACATGATGTCTAATTCTAGCTTAAACCTGATCAGTGAGTGAAGTGGAACATACTATTTCTTTCCCGCTTTTCTCATAAAATACTGTTATTCGGGAAAGAAGATGAGATCATTACAAATTTTTACATCGAACATGGAGAAGGGCCGGTTTCTGGAAAATACAATGCAGTGCTAACAATTCTGCTGTTTTGGATGCGCAAACTAATTTTTTCCTTTCCTTTTGTATTCTTTGGTTATTCAGAACTGCTTCTACTGTAGGTATTTTTCATATTTTTACTGATTTTCATTGGAGTAATTTGTGGTATTCCGCATGAAGAATGCGAGAATAGATCCGATTAAGTAACCACAGTTTAATTTCAGGTCCTTCGCTAAAAAAGGAAAGTCAGATGATCCATAGCAGTCAAACAAGTTCAGTAGAAGAATATCGAAATTTCAGAGAGGACAAAAATATTGGCAGACCAGCAACATCGACATCGAAATTTTCAAAGTTTTATTTTCTTTCCTTCTTTCAGAAACCAAAGATACCCTAGATTTAAAACCCCGTAATCGGTTGATGATTGCAGACATATTAGAATTAGATTCATATAAGCTAACTATTCCACGACTTGAAAAGTTGGAAGCTTGACCCAGAAATGTTGGGCTCTTCGAAATTTATTTCAGCAAAATTAAAATCAATCAAGTTTTGAAGAGCAAAACGGGTTACACAATGGGACAGTGAAATTTAAAAATTATATTAAAAAACTAGAAACGAAGTTAAACCTGGTGTGCTGAATTACCTGAGGAAAAGAACCGTTCTTCAAATAATTGTTCTAGAAGTTTAAAATAGGCCGGTTAGTCGAAAAATTACTTAGTAACAAAACTGAGACCACTATCTGCTCAGAATTGAAATATGGCGGAAACTATGAAAAAGTTGTATATGCTTTAGAATAGAAAGCAGTAGGGAAATCTTCGTTACTCTTCCATAATGTTTTGAATTAAATGATATCCATCAGTGAGTAAAACCAAAAACTCAGTTCAGAACTTTTCTGAAGAGTCCCAGTCTTTGAATTCTTTCCCACTGTGTGCTCGGCGCAGAATTCCGTATCTTTAAAAGTCCATCCTTCGGTTGTGGATGACAGTTATCTGTTAGGGTGCGCAATCTTTGTGTATACTTGAGCTTTGCATATAGTTGTATGTGGGTTATGTGGGGTGAGTGAGACGCCACAAACTTCGTTTCGTAGTTCCAGTCTCTGTGTCGGCTGTAAAATTTTTGCGAGGAAAGGTGTATTGAAAAACACGAGATAGAGTGCACTGAAAATACACGGCAACCAAATAGTGTGTTCATTTTAACGATGTACTAGCTGTTGGTGTGTGTGCTCTGTGTTGCTACTCGATGAATGGAGTGTTTTCTTTGCTTTCTTGCTTTCTTTTCTATTTTTGGACTGAGAGAAAAAAAGAAATTTTCAACTTTTTACCTTAATGTCTATTCCAAAGGTTCTTGTGTATGCGTTTTTTTTTCTGAGTGCTTTTTTCCAATTTTTATATAAATGGAATTAAGCTGAAATTAACAGTACTGACGGTATTGGAATTTTGATCATTTATTTAGAACCAAATTTAGTGTATTTGAAAATTCATCGGCATGAACCTAATAAAATGTATACAGAATTGCTGAGTCAAATTTTGCATGAGGACGAAGAAAAAGTAGCGATCAGAAACCAACGTATTAAAATGTTTTGAATAACAAGTGGGCATAAATTTAAGTCATATTTACAAACAGTTTTGCTATGTAAGTTTTTCAGTCTCATTTAGCTTTGTGATTTAACTAGTCAGGTTTCGGGCGGGTTTCCTTTGTTTTCAATTTATTGTTATTTTTGATAAGGTAAAAACGGAACGATATTTTTGAAGTTTAAGAAATTTATTGACTTTTCATTTCTGCTTTAGATGGGATTGTCAGAAGCAACTTATTGGTAGTGTCGATCAACTTATGTATGATTGTGAACTTGAAGAACTTATGCTTACTTTCATTTTGCATTTATGATATATGAAAATACTAAAACCATTGCTTTCAACTGTGCATAACATATTAGTTTTATCTGGTGATTCTCTTGCAATTTTAACTATGAAGCTGAAGAATGTTTGATGAATGTGACATACTTCCAGTCTGTCATTTAAATTATTATTTAACAAGTCAGGTTTCCGTTCTTTTTTTTCTCTGAGTATGACTGACCTGTCCAGTATACAATTAGAAGCACTGCGTGCTAATTGAAGTCTACTATGTGCCGCTTTTAAAGATTAGCATGTTTCATGTAGCATTTTGTGTAACACTTTGTTTTACACCACTTACGTTTCAAATTTTCAAATTTCCATATAGAAAAATAGTATAAAAGGAGTTGTTTTTTTTTTTTCAGTTTCTACTTATCCTCCGAATGCCATTTGACCTCACATCGGATAACCTAGGAATAGAGCTTTGTTATAACAGCGGTTAAGCAATTGCAAACAGATGGTTGCTGGTGTAATAATACGCATTTTGAAGCTTCCATGATCATCATTTACAAAATTGGAATAAAAAGATCAAGAATGATTAAAATATTTGTAGATGATGATGGATTGATACCGATTATTAAGCTAGATAGTACAATGACAATGAAATTGTCAAGGCAGAAAACTGCTGAAGAAATCTTTGTGATTATGAAAAATTGGTTTATTTTGGAAGATATCTGTAACCCTGCGTCTTCTCATATTTCATTTGCAAAAAACAGGAAACGTGGCCATTTATGTGGGATTTGCAGCTTCCTCTGCTTATGATGTAGAACAATTCGGTTGGCTGTTTGTGCCTTTTCGTGATTAAAGAACGAACTGCCAAGACAAACTGCTTGACATAATTTCTGTTTCGGTTCTTCTATTTTGAAAAACGACTCCAAGTATAGTTAGAACACTGAAAGGACAGTTTGGAAATTCAATCTTGGGCTGAAATTAATATGTAATATGAGGATCAGGAACTAAGAGAGAGAGTGAAAGGGAGTGTTTAGAATTTCCGACTTATTTCAAAGGTTTCATAACATAATGATTAGCTAAACGAAGTCGGTGGGACTTCGTTTTGGAGCTTGAAGCTAACACTGGATAGATGTTGGTACATGAACGAATTGTTGATGGGGAAGAAAAAAATTCTTGCCTTCAAGTATAATGATTGAATATATCAGAAATTTTTATCATTATTGGTCAGCTTGTAAAAGGGTGTTTTAAAGATAGTTCGAACATGCTTTCTGCCAGTGTGCTTGTTGAGATTGATGACCTGTGATATGTTGACAAGAAGCAAGAACATCTAATTATCTCATATTGCACCGTTAATAGCTATTTTTTTGTTTGTGATATTTAGTCAGGTCGAGTTCATGGCAAATCCTGGCTGGTGATAGTGCAACCTAATTTGATCAAAGTGACCAATTGCAAGAACCTTGATGTGATAAGTTAGCTTCGGTGGATATCAGTGAAAGTGTAGGGATGACAGTAGGTTTACTTTGAAAGGAAGTAGCCGGTATGATTGTGTGTTTATAATAGATGAGGGATTATTTAATTCTTGAAATTCTAGTATTTTCCTGGATCTAATTCTTTCCTAACATACTATTAGATTATTTTCCTGGATCACGCTGTTAGAAGGTTTGTTTTTTCTTCTCTAGCACTGCACTGAATTTCATTATTTCCAGTACATTTTTTTTTTACAGTAGGACAATAAGATGTAAAGTTGCAAAAAAATAGTTGTATAATACAAAATGGTGCTAAGAATTTGCTTCTTTCGTCTGTGCATCAGTATATAAGGGTTGTATAATCTGTTGCTTAAGCGAAATTGAATTGAATTTGTGAAGGATAGGAAGGCTACTTGATAAATGAGCGAAATTGTTAGCCGTAATTTTTTAAAAATTTTCTACGTTCTGAATTGCTTTTTGATTACTGATGTACATCACTCATAGCTTACTTTTGTGTATTTACCTTTCTGTTGTCTCTGTATTTTATTTTTGCTCCTTTCTTACTCCTGGTACCATCATTCCAGCTGTTCATCTCATCTCTTTGTTCACATTAAATTTTTATATGCTGAATTTATCCTCGTATTTCTTTAAAAAAATTAATAACTTATTTTTTACTGCGTTCCGCTATATTTCGCTACATTATTTAATCTTTTTTGTCTCCTTTTCTCGTATTTGAATTTTGATTTTTAGTCATTACTGTTTGAAAAACGTATTGAAAGGAGCACTGCGTCAGGTACTGAAGTATTACAGTTTCACATCATTTGAGAAGCCAAACAATATTAGTGGAATCTGTTTTACTGCTTGCCTCATATACTATTCTATTCTGCATCACTGTAACTGAAACTTGGATATGGAATAATGTTGTTCAAATCTCTGAAAAGATTTTTGGAATAATCTTGGATTTTCTTCAAATATCGCTTATTCCCGTCAGAACTTTTGCCGGAGGTATTTTCTGCAAAATCTCATTCTCGTTAGAGCTTCTGACAAAGGTGTTTTCTTCAGATTTTACCTTTTTCTGGCAAGAATCTGATGCCAACATTTTCAGAATATTTTGTCCATAATGCTATTCCGCCTCCAGCCACTTCATCGTTATTTTCTTCATCAAAAAATGGTTTTGGACATTATCGTCGCTTTAATAGTAATGTAGCTTATGCTCAATGTTATAATCCACTTTGTGGTGGTGGCGATTTGCAACAACATCCAACCCTTTTTGCTGACCATTTTGCCGGTACTCTTATACCAATGAGCAATATTTGGCCCTTTTGTCATCATTGTTCCATGAATCTTAAAAGATCATCCTGGCAACAACCAGCTGCAACACAACATTGGCCGGCAGATACAACGTTCTTCGCACTACCAGGAACTTCTGCATATGTTGCTAAACCAAGATTGGACATACAGTGTGATACTTCTCCCTTTCCAAGCGATATTAGTAGTAGTAGTACAGCTAATACTGACTATGCTGATTCCACTAGCTCTGGAATTGGTTCTCATGATAATTACTATCAACAGGAGGAGTCTGGATATCTCCCAGGTCATATAGCAGTTGCTTCATCTCATGTAGCAGTTGCTTCATCTTCTGACAGCAGCAGCTCTTCACCGCCACAAATTATTTTCCTAGGTGATAGTGACCCTGAAAATTTGCGTCACAACGCTGCTGGAACATCATCATTGGCAGATTTTTGTGATTACGACTTTGCTAGCGCTGTTAAGCAAAAGCCTCAATTACAGCAGGTCCCAAAATATTCCTTACAGTCAACCGGGTTACTACCACAAGTTTCTTCAGACGTGTCGCTTAGATCATATCAAGCATGTTACCCTTCTGCTATAAAATTATGCACCTTACGAAAAAGATATTTAGCGAAAAAAGGGAAAGGCTTATCGACCGCCAATCTCCGATTTGGAACTGGCGCAAGATCCGAAAGCATTATTACTCCTGCTGCTAATTGCTTTCGTGTTTATCAGTTTCCTAATCACTTCTTGCCATTAAGAATTGAGACTTACATCCATTGTTTAGAAAGGTATGTTATTCATGAATTCTAATATTTTATTCAGACTTAGTATATGAGAAAAAAGAATTTCGTTTAATGAATAAAAATGATTACTTCTTTTATTGCCACGAAAAAGCATTAGCCCTATTGAAGTCAAATCCTTTGAAATGGGCACTGAATAATTTAAACTTTCTACAGCACAAAAAATAGCTACTTTCAAAGATTTTCATGCATATGGTTTACTGAAACATTTATATCCAGGCTGAAACATACATTTTTTTATCGTATATCAATCAGAATTCTTAAACATTTTTTGATCATCGCAAAGCAGTTTCTCTACTTGTTTGTTTGGCAAAACATGCGGTTTATTTCAATTAATTGTTGAAGACCATGTTCATTGCAATAGCTTTAGAGTGACTAGAAAGTGAAAATTTTCAGTTACATAATAATCCATTACTGTTATCAGTTAACTGACTCTATGATAATTTTGTGGATTCTGGCTATCCTATATAGGTGGATATGATGGAAAGGAATCAAGGAAAAAAGCAACAGCCCCGTAGTCTAATCACAGGTTGCTGGGGACGGTTGATTCACTAAATGAAAGACTTCTAATGTTTCTTGCTTATCTACATTCCTCTTGATGTTGTTTCAATCAATTGTTATATATATATATATATATATATGTAGTCCCTTTCTCTTCTTACTTTCAAACAAATATTTCAGCTTTTCGAGTTTCTTGAGCGCAAAAGTAAGATAAAACGACTTTCCTATATATGCATATGTAAAATGACCCCGTATATATATATATATATATATATATATATATATATATATATATATATATATATATATATATATATATATATATATATATATAGTAGTAGTACGTACGTACGTAACGTACGTACGTAC